AATTCACCTCGGTTGAAAAGACACCCGAGGTAAAACGTGGCGTATTTTTATATTAAAAATAAATATTCAAGAAGACGTCATTTTTAATGAAATAAAAATATAATCTGAAGATGTTGGGATTCAAAGCATGTACACTGAATAAGTTTATCTATCGATTTTCAAAATAATCGACGAAATATATTGTATATTTAAAAAAATAGGGTGTGTTCAGGAATTTTACCTCGGTTTATCAATATATGATGTGAAATCTTTGTCATAAAAAGTAGTTTTTCTAGTAGTGTTGGACAAGATTATGCACCTTCGAGACGTAGCTTGCACCTTCGAGGCCTTCGCAGTCCCTGCAATTTGACACCTTTAAACTTCTCACCACCTTCGTAATACTTGACAAGAATATCACATGCCTCCTTCGCCAATTCAGCATGAGAAATCTGTCGCTTGCGCGAAAATAAGGTGCCGGCAAAACAGAAGAGTCGCCACCTTTTGTTATTTATCCCTCAGAGCGGGAAAGGAAACGATCGGAAAAACCTGACGAAAAAGGGTAAGACAAGGTCATCGCAACCATTGTCTGGGTTCGGGAGTCGGTTACGCAAGGGGAAGGTATTAGCACCCCTCACGTCCGTCGTACTCGACGGGATCCACGCTTGCTTGGGTTGTCTAAAGGATGCAAAACAATCTATCTACGGCTGCTAAATCTAAACAGAAGGGAATTGACTCGATAGAGCGTCGCACTCTATGCCTACGTATTCTCAAGAGAGAAAGTCAGAGTCAACGTAGTTCGGGACTACAGGGAGAATTGGCTCGCCAAGACTTCGCGTCTTGTGCCTACGTACTTCCATACTGCATGGAAGATCAGAGCTTTACGTAGTTCAGGCTAACTACGGCTAAACAAACATTCTCACACAGCAGTGAGAAAAACAACTGGTTTCACAGGGTCGGGAACCTATGGGCAAAACTATGGCTTGGTCTCAAATGCACTCGGGCAAGAGAGAAAAAGGGTTACAATTAGTCGTCAGCGGGAAAGTCTCGGTCGCACAGCAGCGAGAGAACAAAAGTCAGTCGTTAGTGTGCTCGCTAGGATATCGCATCCTATGCCTACATATCCTTGTCTGGTACAAGGAATCAGAGCAGCTGTAGTTCGGCTACTTCGGGACCACAGCTCAAATCTCGTTTTATTAATATCTGAAAAATGGTTACAATGCTTGCATACTGAAACATAAATCTCCTTGGAAACGCTATCCTATTCTATCCTGAAAAATTGAATGAAAAAGTCCCCTAACAAATGGACGTCTAAAACTATCCTAAAAATCGTAAGATAACCTCTATGAAAATATATCCTAAAAGAAAATGTACTTTAAAAATATTAAATCTACTTTAATATTTCTTCCCTTTTTCTTTCTCTTCTCTTCAACTATTTTCTCCTTGTATTTCTTCTTTTCTTAAAATATTTTCCCTTTATTTTTCTATCTTTTTCAAATATTTTCCTCCATATTTTTCACTATTTTTTCTATATTCTTTTCCTTCTTCTTCTTTTTTTTCAATATGTCTTTTTATTATTTTTTCACTTTTCTTTTTCTATTATTTTCCATAATATTTCTTTTCTTTTCTTTTCTTTTTCTCAACATATTTTTCTGTATTTTTATATATTTTTCTCCTCTTTTTCTCATATAACTATATAGAAAAATAACAAAAAGAAAAATATAGGGGAAGGGGGGTACATCAGTTATTACAGGGGATGTAATTAAGCAAAAAATAAAAACTGAAGAATTGGGCCCAGCCCAGGTAAATCCATGCTACACGCAGGGGGAGGTGAGAAAGAATCCAGAGGGTGTGTGCCAGAAAAATATTGGGCTCAGGCCCAGTCCCACGCCAGCCCACAGGGTTTCCCTTTCCCTCATTCTCCTCAGAAACCCTAGCTTCACTGTTCATGGCCTTTGCGCCGCTCTTCCTCCCTGAACCCTCCTCTCTTCGTTCGTCACCCTCACCACGACTCTCCCTCACTCTCTATTTTGAATCAACAGCCAATGATCCACAAAACTCGTATCACAGATCTACACAACCCAACTTTAAGCCGCATCCTGTATATCCATAAATCTGATGAATCTGAAGGAGGCTTCTGGAGAAGTTCTGAAGGACCTTGAAGATTCTGGGAAGGAGATGAAGATCCGTGTTTATGGAGGTGGATGACCTGATGTTCGTGTGTTGAAGGTTTGGTGTCGACGAAGCGATGAAGAATGTTACAAAAATCTGGAAAAAAACTTCAACGACTAACCTTGCATGTGAATCTGGACGGAAGAAGAGTGTTCGTCGTTTGATAACTTCTGGGGAATGGCTCTTGACGACGTACTGAAGATTGCTACAAACGAAGAACGCGCGAGGATGATCTAACGATTCTGGAAAACTGACTCTGAAGCTCATGAAGAAACGGATGATGATCTTAGGTGAGTCTTGAAGAAATTTCTGGGAAAAATTTGACACGAAGTTTCTGGTGAATATGGTTGATGTGAATGGTTCTTGAAATTGGTTGAGTGTCGTTGAAGATCGTGGATGAATCCAGTTTGTTGATGAAGATTACTCATTGACGATTATCTGGAAGATGAAGGAGATCTGGGACGAACTGATTCTGGAGAAATGTTGAACGACGATGAAGGTTGGAGGAGGTTTCTGGGATTTTGGGCGTTTCTGGTGAGATTCACGGCGGCCGGAGTACAGGTACGGTGGTTGGATGAGAGGAAGACGGAGGTAGGAGATGAAGAAGGGAGGAGAAGAGATGAAGGTTGATCGGAGTTCTGGGTTTTTGGGTTCCGGTGATGTTCATGGTGGTCGTCGGCCATGCAGGCCGGCCGGTGACGGTTTCAGGCGAGGGTCATTGGTGTGACGCGTGGCCGTGTGGGTGGAGGTAAGGGCTGCATGCTCTCCACGTGGTGATGCGTGGCAGAGAGAGAGGGCGTTGGAGTAGTGAGGTGGCGTGATGGGAACGAAAAACGTGGGTCCATCCTCTGAGTGTGAAATGTGGGGTGTAACGTGGGGCCAGCCTTTGAGCTACACGTGGCTCCTGAAGCTTTATACCACTAAGAACTTCTGGAAGTTTCTGGAAGATGCTGGAGAAATCTGGACATTACTGGAAAACTTGGATGAAAATTCTGGACAAAAAAATGTATTGGGCCTGCGAATTGGGTACTGAAGCCCACACGAAAATGACTGAAAAAAACTCACAAAAAGCTGCATAATTATGGTTAATGAAAAATGAATTAAATCTAATCCTAATTAACTAACTGAATTAACTAATCTGATTATTATTCTAATTAATTCTAAAACTCCTAATAAATTCTAAAAAACTATATTATTTATTATTAAAAGAAACTCTATTACTCTAATAAAACTATTAAAAAAAACTATATTTTCCTATTAAAATCTATTTACTAATAACAGAAAAAAAAATCTATTATTCTATATCTAAGAAAATGATTTAAAGCTATTAATATCTACTAAATCCTAAAAATGGATTAAAACTATTAAAACTATTAAAAAAAACTATTAATATTCTAAAAAATTCTATATTATCTTAAAAAATCTATTAACTCCTAAAATGATTAAAAAGCTATTTAAAAAGAATTAAAACTATAAAAAATCCTATTAAATCCTAAAAATGATTAAAAATCTATTTAAACCCTAAAAAAATGCCAATAAAATCCAGAAAAATCACAATAATTCCCGAACGACACATAACACCGCGAGAGCGCACAAAAATATTCGGTAAAAATAAACGGGCACCGAAATATCCCAAAAATGCGATTCTACCTATTAAAACTGATAAAAGACACCTGAAACACGAGACGAGAGCTGTGATCCCAATAAAATCAAAACAAATGAAAAATGCACTGTATGCAATATGCAGATGCGAATGCGATCATGCGTCGAAACATCGGGCCAGATACGAGACCCGGTTGGTCAAATTTTGGGGTGCAACAAAATCCCATCAAAATTTGCTGCATCTATTGCAGATTGAATACAAAACACAGTCTTGCAATCTTTCTTCTTGCATGGCATCCTTATGAATGATTCTTTGAGCATCATTTGCGTTGTGAGCAAGCTCAAAAACGCCATTAGTCATCACTTTTAAGGTTTCATGAAAATAAATAATGATTGGAAGAGAATTGGAAGGGAATTGAGAATACCATTGCTACCATTCATCTTTACATCAAACATGATTCACGATTTCTGAAAACACGACCACCGACGTGCAGTTCTTGAATACATGTTCAAGAAGAACGAACCAAAAACTCTAAATACCAATTTGTTAGTATTGATGCATTAAAGAAAGAGAATGAAAAGTAATTATATTGGATTTTTTAGTATTGCACTATATACATGTATTTATACAACTCGATTACTTGTAACTCAAATAACTATAAATTATCTAACTAACTAACTTGAATTATATCACAGCATAATAGACGAGCTAAATATACATCCCACAAAGAGTTTATTGCAGAAAATTCAACTCAACGTGACTACATGAATGAGTTTATCGCAGGGAATTCAATTTCCCAACCAAACATTCCCTTGGTCATGAATGAGTAATAAATATTTGCCGTGATTTTCCACCAAACGCGTGGTTAGCGAAAAACAAAGAATTCAAAGTGTTTAAGTGTTAATCGTCGTCACACACAAAAAAATGTTAACGTGTTTTACATTAGGATAAACTTGTGTTATCATCACTTGTTTATTACTTTTCCAAATGTTTATCATCAATTTTGTAAGTACGCGTTTTTTTTTTGGCATATCTTACACACTAAGGTATTTAGAAGTTTAATTTTTTTCAACATTATATGTATTTTCTTGGAATTTTTAGCGAAAATGTGATAGAATTTCATCACATAGACTAACATGTCCTATTTGTGCACTTCATCACATTTGAGTGTTGACATTATAAATAGTCACTTTTAGTTGAGAGAACATCCTTGTGAGATTTTGTAAAAGCAAATTACGTAATTGTTGAGATGGTATCAGATAAGCAATCTCGTAAGGATCACAAAGGAAGTAGTAAGATTCCTAGTGATGGGTCGAAACGGAATCTTGGTGTTACTAAACAAGCATCAAATAGGTATTATAATATTATATACTTATTTTTTGTGTTTGTTTGGTTTGTAACCACTTTATATTTAATCTTCTGCCTTATTGTGTGTAGTGGCCTTAAGTTTATGATTAACACAGTATGGATCAATGCTCACAATTTGCTCGTCATGGAACCTTTCATTCGAGGAATGGTAAGAGATGTAACTGAGAGAAAAGTCCAAGAGCTGCTCTTTTCAAGGTTTGTTTTTCATATCAAACTATCAACATACATCAAGTATTATTATTTTACTATATATTTAATGTATTCAACATTATTATTATTATTATTGCTTTTTATTTTTGTGAATTTTGTTGCAGAGAAAAGATTAATGAAGCTGCTAGATCTGGAGTTAGATCCTTAGAATTGCGTTTTATGAATGATGATAAGTTGCCAAAGATGACTTTTACCAAAACTAATATTGTTCCAAAGGGTGAAGCACTTCAAGTTGCACTATATGATGTTAGATCTCAGTCAATAGTCAACGAGGGTCCCTTGTCTTTAATAAAGATACAGATTTGTCCCATTCATGGTGAGTTTGAATCTGGTGAGGATGAAGATTGGACTGAAGCTGAATTCAATAAGAATATCGTGCATAAGAAAAAGAATAAAGAGCCATTGTTGGTTGGAGATGGAGTTGTTACTCTTAGAAATGGTGTTGCTTCTATTTCTGAAATCACGTTCAATGAAACCTCTAGATGGGCAAGAAAGAAAAGGTTCAGTTTAGGAGCAAAAGCTATGGAAAATGGAGAGAATATTAAGGAAGGTAGAAGTCAAGCTTTTAGGGTCAAAGATATCAGAGGAGAAGGTCAGTTTTATTAATTGTTCACTTATGTTTTTGTTTTTTATTTTAACATGTCTTTTGGTTTGGTCATTGAAGCTTACAAGAAACATTATCCTCCATACTTGAACGATGAAGTGTGGCGCTTGAAGAAAATTTCTGAAAAAGGACCGTACCGCAACCGACTCCATAGCTACGGAATTAAAAAGGTTAAGGATCTATTGAGGTTACTCATAATCAATAAATCTTCATTACATGAGGTAAATGATTGTTTTGTTTCTCTTCAACTTCATCAAATATGAGAAATATTCGTGTATAATGGAAAGTTTTTCTGTTGAGATGTAGATATTTGGCAAAATTCCAAACAAGTGCTGGTCTGATATTATCGAACATGCTCGATTGTGTGTTGTGGATGAGTACATGCTTTACAGCTATGAGATGATTGGACAACCAATACTGCTTCTGTTCAATGTGATCTATGAACTTGTTGGTCTCACATTTGATAAACAAAAGTTTTATTTACCAAATGATGTCACACTCACACCCAATCAGAAGGTTAGATAGTTGAATTTTGTAGACCATATTTAGTTTAAATTCAAAATATGTTGTGAAATAGGTTTCAAGGAAAATACTGAAAATGTTTTTTTATTTTTTTACAGAATTTGGTAGAAATTGTGAAGCAAGATGCATATAAAAACATTGAAAATTTAAGAGCAATTGATGAGGCTGTATTGAACTCCAAAAGCTTAGAAGCATGTATAAAATCAACACAAGATATGCAAGATTTTGTTGAACCATTTATCTCTACTTCAAATGTTAATGATGGAATGCAAAATGTTGAAATCAATGTTGATCCAGTGGTAGACATTAGAGAAATACGACAAAACAGTTATGATAATTTAGATGGTTATTTTGATGAAGGTGAGTGTAGCACTTTTGTTGATTTACTGAATTACGTATCAAACATAGAGAAACCAAAAGCAGTGTGGTGTAAGATTCGTGCTGTTGTGAAATGGGGAATAATAGTGAGAAGAGTTGCAGCAGCCAAGAGGAATGAACCTTTGTCTATTATAAGGTTTATGATATCAGTGCTATTTTCTAAAGTTGATGTTGAATTTCAGTTACAGTGAAGAGACGTGTAAGTTCATAAGAGCCCTCCTGTCTAATATATTATAGCGTTAACATAATGTTTAAGATAAGAGTCTGTAAAATAGCACTATAAATAATTTCTACCATCATTCAAATTTACTATGCTTATGTAAATATTGAACAAAACAATGTGATAATATTTTTTAATTGTTTAAAGTCAAGTGGAGTTTTGTGTTGGAAATGATTATTGTTGAGATACACTGTATTATGTAGAAATATTATAACTAATCACATGATATAGTCGGTGTGAGATTATTCTATATGTTGTGATCATAAATGATACCTTTTAACAAATCAAGATTGAGAAATTGAGTTCTTGAGTGAACAATAAAAACGGTTAGAACAAAGATAGAAAGAAGAAAAAAGGATAAAGAAGAAAGAAGAAGAAGGATTAGAGCAAAATGATTTACTATTCACTTTCTCATAAAAGTTTACAAATGAATATCACTATTTGCCTCACTCAACAACCTGAGTGATCTAGTCTAATTATAGACTAACTAGATAACTTGTAATCCAAGTTAACTAAACAATTTGATCCATAACAAAAGACTCAATTCGACAAAAATTTCGACAATACATATAAGAACAGACTTCGACTACAATATATATCCTTCGACCACAATATGCGTGATCGCGACTTTCTATGTCTAACAATTCTAACTGCAAGTGCACAGTCTATCGCGTAGTAATAAAAGATATCGATCCCACAGGGACTCGTAATCAAACTAGTGTTCTCGGGAGTTACTATGTTTAGCTAGGTAGAATATGTTTTAAGGGAATAAGATTGTCACTAAGAGGGGAAACTAAGATTACTATTAAGATTTTAATTAATTGAATCGATACGTAGCAGTTATGTTCTTCAGGGATTTGATAAGTTACTAGTGTATGAAATAGTTTTCGCAGTTTACTTAAGCAGAAAGTGGAGATTTGAAGACTCTCGTCTCACGATGGTTATTGACGTTAATCATAATCCTAAGGGCCTAACGTACACTTTCGTGTTCCGTTCGGGGTTAAAATTACTTTTTGGAAATCTCTAAATTCTAATTAGTTTTAAAGTGTTTTCGCTGTTATTAAAACGAATGCCTAGTGTTTACTATCTGACCTTACCGCAGCTTTCGCTTGTTGGTTCGTATCTTAATTAATTTCCCACTTTCGTGGCAAAACTACTTTAAAACAAGTTCTCGCTTTCGCGACGAAGTTTATTTCGTAAATCAATTTTTAAACACTTAGACCATAAGTTATTTTTATGAAAAGAAAGTTTTCAAACAAGAGTTATCAAATCTCATCCGAATTATTACTACATATCGATTACCTAAGTTTAGCTAGACATGGAATTTGGAAAAACAAAACATAAATAATAATAATAAATAATAAATTGCATTATGATAAAATAAGAGTCGATCAAAATGAAAACCTGTAAATAATGCCAATTGGCCTTTGGGCAGATCCTCCACAGATGTTGGCAGGATTCTGTCTTTAGTTCCAATTCGATCGTACAGTGCAGTAACAAATACAGAAGGGCGAAAATGGGAATGAGTAGAATGGAAAGGGAAATAAAGGGAAAGGGATACAATTGAAACTGGAGAAATGGATACAAATAATAAAAAGGCTGGAAATTAAATTTGCTCTTGAAAATAAATTTGGGCAGCACTTCGTGGTATGAATGCAGCTCCCTTTTTGAAGTACCGTGCTTCCCTTTTTATAGGAGTGGGATTCCAACGGTTACCTCTGAGGATGATGGACCTTGAGGCAGATAATTTAGGGAGTAGTGGACCATTAAATGTGAATTGGAACTGCTCTTTTGACGTGTAATCTGAGTGGGGCGTTTTTGCCTGCATGACGGTCGTCACAAGGTGTGACGGTCGTCACCCGTGTGACGGTCGTCATGCATCTGTGACGGTCGTCACATCAGCAAAAACTGTCTGCTGCGCTTTTCATTGTGTTTTCACTCCTTTTTCGTCCATATTTCATCTGGGATTGCTTCTTTTCTTCATGTTGCCTTGTTTAGACGTGATCGTCGAATACCTGCAAAAACATCAGACAAATACATGGAAATAACCCGAAATCGGATCGAAAACGGTTAGCTTTTAGTCGAATTATGCATGAAAATATCTATATGATTTCGTGTTATCAAACTCCCCTAAGCTTGAATCTTTGCTTGTCCTCAAGTAAAACGTGGAAAAGTCGGCAAGCACGAGGCTGCTTCTTCGTTCGCGGAGTTTGGAAAAGCCGGGATTCTTGGTAGGAACAAGACGAGTATCGCGGCGACACTGGACTACAAGTCTCCGGAGGTCTCCCTTTTATGCAAATCGGTCTCAGTCATGCTACCGTATCTTGGTGTCAAGGTTCTCGTGGCAAGTTCACCCTGTTTGTTCTAGCGCAATCACATTAAGCTCGTTGTCCGCACACTCTCATGGCAAGTCGACCTGTTAGTGAATATGATCTCGTTTTTGTTTTTGATCTTCTTTGTTGATCATAATTTGGTGTCATTGATTTTTCAATGAGATTTTCGTGCCGTTGGGCTAAATGCTCGGGTGAGGAGCACCTAACTTAGAAGGAAACGAATCTTATATTCTTGGGTTTTTTAGCTCTCTTTTCATGCTTTTTCATCTTTTTGGAGATCATACACTTATTTGCATCGGTCGCTTGCTTAGAAGTGTTTTTAGGATGGTGCTGACTGCTAGTATAAACTACTTGGGGTTGAGTTTGCGTAGACACTTGAGACTTTGGTACACGTAGGTGGTGAAACCGACTCGCATAAACTAGAGATATAAGGTGTCTGGACGATACTGGTTTTGTTAGAACTGTCGTTTCCTCGGAGTTTCAAAACTCGGTTTGAACTCAAGTGCATTCTGATGCTTTTGCTTTTGAGGAACAAGTGAAAGTTTTTGTTTACGTCGAAAAATGTGGGGATTGTTTGCGTAACGTGAAAAATATATAGATGCGCTTTATTTGCTAGAAATAGAAAGTGTAAAGTAGAACTTACTAAAATTCAAAAGTGCAGTGAAATGGAAATACAGTAAATAAGGGAAGTTCTGAATACAGTGGAAATAAGGCTCCGCTCCCACACTATCTCGATCAGTGTCCTCACTGATTCTTGAAGCATGCGAGAGGGAGATACAACTGAAAATGAAAATACATAGAACAGAAATATAGTAAACAATAAAGGAAAAAAATGAAAATCTAGTCCCGGGGCCTGTCACGTCCACGCTGGCGTCCTCTGGCTCTAGCAAGGGCGACTCTATCCTCGTAGCTCATGGCTCCGGTGTGGTAGACCGTGTCGCGGAGGCTTTCGGAGGTTTTGGGGTTTTTTGGCAGAGATGGGAATGTGACAGAACGGTGGTTTGGAGATTGAATTTGGAGTTGGGGTTTATAGTTTAGATGGAGATGACGAAAATCGTAGTGGGGTATGGATGTTGGAGGTTTGAAAGTGATAATGGGGGGAGTGGAGGGTTACACGACCTCTGTTATACCAGATTGCAGTTCTGGGCTGCGTGACGATCGTCACCCGTGTGACGCTCGTCATGGGACTGTGACGGTCGTCACAGCAGCAAAATCTGCAGAACGCGGAATTTTGCTCTGAGGGCGTATTCGGGGTGATTTTAAAGCGTAGTATTGCTACGGTGATGTACTATAACAGCCAATAATCAATAAATAATGCGAAGACAGAATAATTGAACAAAACTAGAATTGAAATAGCATAAAATGGAAACAATTGTATGTAGTACATAATGAAACGAACAATGTGAAAATTCCAAATGAGTGAATTAAACTAAACTAGACTAGACTAAACTGAAACTACTGCTATGAGCTAATAACTAATCATTCCGTGCCTTCAATTCATCAAATTTCTGTGAATAGTAGTCGAGTTGGTCGCAGACTAGATCCATGAAGCCTACCAGGTCACTGTGCATGCCTGCGATGTCAGCTTTTACATTCGTCAGAGCTTTATCAACGTCGTCCAATCTGAGTAACACGGTATCCATTTTGTCGGTTGTTTCCTCAGGGATAGGCTCAGGATAAGTATTGTAGTGTGGAGGAGTCATAGGGTCTACTTCATTTTCAGAGGCGGCGTCCTCAAAGTACATGTAATCGTGTGCCTCAGAAATGTGGTCACTGTCATACATATAGTTCTGGGGTGTTGACTGTGGTGAAGGAGGTCCCATAGGCTCATCCAATTCATAGAGCCAGTTATCCTTGTTGTGGATGCTTGTCATCAGATGATCAGGCAGTGTGAATAGTTGTACTGGTTTTTCGTTAATAAGGTACTCATACGATCCAGGTCCCATATTTCCTAAGATGCGCCTGTTAAAGCAGAATTGAATGTTCATGGGTCTGATGGTACCAAAACGAGTGCTGGCATTTAGATGGAATCTAAGGCCAAACTCGTGGGCAATCATTGTTACTAGTCCTCCTATAAGAATAGGTGTCTGAGGTTCCAGCGTGAGGCGTTTGAAGGATCTCATCATGAAAGACACTGCATTTACTGTTCGTCCCTGAGAAGCACAGAACATGATGAATAACTCTTCCTTAGACACTGTGGTAATATTTTCTTCCTTTCCAAACAAGGTGTGAGCTAGTATCTTATGGAAGTATCTAAAGGCTGGGTTATGAATGTCATCATTGTACATTCTGTCTGGTTCAGGGTGATAGTCTCCTGTGATTCTACCCCAGAAGTGCTCGAGTTGCAAATCAATATCGTCATCTTCTGCACTGATGAACACATGCGGTCCGCTAGGGAATCCTAGGAGGTTAGCTAGTGACATTCGGCTATGAGTTTGGTCCATTCCAAACAATCTGAAGGTGATCAACTCTGAGCGGGTTCCAAAACCATAGTTGGGTGTGTATCTGAAAGAACTGAGGAATTCGTAGGTAAGATCCTTGTAGGTAGCAAAGCGTGTTTTCAGAGCAGTGTTCTCCCAACCCAGTTGATTGAACAGGTATTGAATGCTATCTGTGATCCCTAGTTTATCCATAGTAG